GTGCTGCTGCTTAACGTTTATCACACACGAGATTTCCCTAGAAAAACAGTTTCTACAACATGGAGCACTTCAGTATAGTTCAACCCAGCCCCTGTGAATGATGTCTTATCTAACACATGATTAGTGGCATGCTGTTCACTAAAATCTGTTATTAAATGCTTCTCTTTTGCTTCCATAGTTCCACTGGAAATTCAGCTTTGGAGAAATAGTGAGTTGAATATATAGTCAATCTTTTTCTGAGTACATGTTTGCTAAAACAGTTAATGACAAATAGAAATCAGCACTACATTCATACAGTATTTCACATAGAGACATTATTAAAAAAGAAAAAAATATATCAGAATAAGATGACATTTAATAGGTGTTCAGGTTTAAATACTTATGAACATTGAAATATTTGGATCACTGCCATACCTCAGACTCATGACATCATATTCAAAGTATCTCATTGCCTTTCAACAACCTTATTAGAATGCTGTGCTTGCCCACAATACACACCACTTTTAAGCTATAGATGCACTTTTCTATCCTCATAGAGATCTAGGGTAGCTGTGGAAAAGGACCAACATCCTAGTTACTTTACTGTGAATATTGTAATTATTTATAAGGTTACTTTAGCCTGAAAAATATTTTTAAAAGAATGGTTAATATATGGAAAGCATGTAATTCTAAATATATAAATATAGAAAGGGCACTAACTAAACATGAGCTAGGATTCACAAAAAAGGGAATAATATGATAAGGACTTGCACTGGCTTGTGAATCCAGGCCCTCATTCTGCACAGTACTGCTACTGCAGATCCTGTTGCAAGTGCAGAATGTCAGAGGCCAGGCTTCTGAGAGCTCTTTCATGCTAGCACAAAATTGCAGATGGAAGCTTAGAGCAAGAAAATGTTTTCTGTATCGAGGATCTTCCTGTAACTTTTAGCTATGCCATCCCCCTCTTTTTAACTAGATATATTTAATTATGACTCTTTGAAAAGCAAATGAGATTTACTCTAGTCTAATACAGATCTTTCAGGAAGAGTGGTAACACAAATGTGTAGGAAATATACTTAGAATGACACAGACCTGATTTTCTGTGATAACTTGAATTCACAATACAGTAAGATTCCATTTACTCAGACAAGCTCATGCTGTGTTATGACACAAGGTGAGGGACATTTAATGCATTAGAACCATTTTCTCCCACTATGTAAAGCTGTCTGTATAGACTGGTTATACTGATTTGGGAAAAGGTGAAGTGCAAGATACAGATTTAGCACTACAGCTCCCAGGACAGCACGCTGCTGCCGTATCACATACAGCCACAGCTGCAGAGCTGCACAGATCCTCAGTCATTGGTAAGCACTGTGCTGAGTGAAGCTTTGTCTGTTTACCCACAGTGCTCACCCTGACCATGTGGCCCACCAGTATGTAGTGGGGATCCTGGCCGCAGCAGCCTCAGACAAGCCCTGTGCTCGGTTATGACACTCTCATTTCTACCCATGCCACAGGATGAAATTGGTTCCTTGAAAAAGTTAGTTGGCTGAATTTCAAGCACAGATAAATGTTATTATTGCAGGGATTATTTTATATGAATGGTGCCCTAAAACAACATTATGTTAAGGGCTTGTGTAGATTCTTCAGCGTAATTGTGGCTCTCTGTCTTCATCCCACAGCAGCACTACTGCATGGGATCCTGCAGGGGAGGAAGCATCATGAAGCTAAGTGTGTGCTTCTAAACTCTGGCTATCAGGTTTCCCAGCAGACGGGCATTTTCCTTGAATGCTCTATCACAGCCTTTCCTTTTTGTGCCATGGATGTTTTTGTGCTGTGCATATGCCTGACGAGTGAGGTTTGGAGGTGGCAGAGACGCAGTAGCACAGTGGTGTGATAGGTGTGGAGGCTACAGCCCACCATGCTCCTAACGCATTGCTGAAACGCCTTCTGGGATGCAGGATCAGAGGTACCGCAGGGTACCAGGAGTAACCAGGAAAATTCTAAGGATCTGGACCTATGGAGAACCATAATGGGAGATGAAGATTCAAGAGGAGGTCTTTTCATAGGAAATAAGATTAGCCATGACATCACATTAAGGAATATGGTAATTCTTCCAACATAGTAACGTTTTGAAACAAGATTTATTGCTTAAAAAGATATTATAGGACAGATTCATATGAATCCCATGATTTATGTTATGCAAATAGTCAACTTACATGAGCACAGTGCCCCTTATGGATCTGGGCATTAATGCATACAAAATGGAGTAACTGTGCATAATCAGAGAATCATAGAATAGTTAGGGTTGGAAAGGACCTTAAGATCATCTAGTTCCAACCCCGCTGCCATGGGCAGGGACACCTCACACTAAACCATGTCACCCAAGGCTCTGTTCAACCTGGCCTTGAACACTGCCAGGGATGGAGCATTCACAACTTCCATGGGCAACCCATTCCAGTGCCTCACCACCCTTACTGTAAATAATTTATTTCTTATATCCAATCTAAATTTGAACCCATTACCCCTTGTCCTATCACTACAGTCTCTAATGAATAGTCCCTCCCCAGCATCCCTGCAGCCCCTCTTCAGATACTGGAAGGCTGCCATGAGATTTCCACGCAGCCTTCTCTTCTCCAGGCTGAACAGCCCCAACTTTCCACTTAATTTCATTTTGTTTCATCAACTAAGTTGCTTTTATTATAATGATAAATCTGTAAAAACCCTGGGCAGAAGTTTAATGCTTTGTTATTTTTGTGTTAGAACGGCTATACTGCCTGACAAAGAATGACCCTGACTCTTACCTTCACTGCAGTCAGGGGAAGTAACCACAAGAGCAAAGTGCACCTCTGGTTTTCTACCAGGCATTATCTTACGAGCAGTGAAGAGAGATCTGAATTTTTATATTTTCTTCCTTAACAGTGCTTTCAGCAGAAGAAAACCAACTTTTGTGAGTAAAGAAATGCATATATATTGCTGAGGTACACTGAAGGGAGTCATCAATAGGGGAGAAATTGAATTCCACTTGCAAATGCAGCAGTGACAATGCTCCAAAGTTGCAACAGCAAAAAATACTCAGAGCATTAGCAAAATAATTGGTACAGACTTAGGGCTTAGTATTGCAAAAACAACTGTGCAAATGAACTCAGCAGGATGGCTTCCACATACCTGCTCTTATGATTAACAGTGCAAGGCTGGGCCCATACTGGATTTTGTGACTTTTTCAAAATGGGCAGATAAAAACTTCCTAGTTACAATACATCACCTTATACATTCATTACTTTGTGTAACTAAACTCTGCATCCAAGTTTCTAGCCAGTGGGTGTTTTTCTCCCATAGTAACAAATGCAGAGGTTTAAATATTCCATTTCTAGGATCATTCCTCCATCTCCTAAACAATGCACTTGGATTATAATTACCTAAAAAACTTAAAGGGGTGGATTGAAGTTAAATAGTCTTCAGAGCCACCAAAATTGGCCCTTCTCCGTAATCAGCCTGTTTCCCTTAGTCCAATTCTCATCCAGATCCCAGATGGGCTCTTATGTTCCTCCCACACTTGTGTTCCTCATTTCTACAAGTGAGTCAGTCCAGCCCACCCCAGCAGGCAGCTGCACTGTCACCCAAAATCATCTGTGCAGAGTGCTGCCACCAGCTTTTCTGCTTGACTTAGAGCTGTCTTTGGTCTCCATCTCCAAAGGTTAAAACCAGTGAGGATGGAGCATTGCACAGTCAGCAAGTGCTCTTCCAGCATGTCTGGTGCTCAAATCATGGCATATCCATGGGAGCACAGCTGATAGAGAAAAAACATTCCTAAATGACCTCCTAAAACATTGTCCAACTCATTTTGTTAGTCAATTCCATTTTTCTGGAAAGGCAGAGAAATGGTCACAGAGATTTTCAGAGACAATTTTAAAACCGATGTGGAGTTGTTCTGTCCTCCAACATGTCAAGTGCCCCCCAAACAAAACTGGTTTTGGGTACAACCAGCAATGTGCATCAGCCCAATTAGTAACCACTGAATACAGAGACAGTACTTCTGAAGTGTTGCTGACTGAAGGGCAAGACAAAGTTTGTAGGCAAAAGCAGGTGATACACAAACAGCCTTTCATGCACCCATCATGTATTCAGCATTGCCAGTACCCCATGACTCTTCATAAATCAGGCAAGGAGTACTAAATCCCTGATTTGCTATGGGGCAACTTGCCCAACTCCTACTTTGTTGCCTTTACATCAGAAATGATACCACACTCAGTAATGTGTAATGGGATTTCACTAGCAAAAGTACTGTCCAACTCTAAAATGCCATTCAGGGATTTTATCCGTATAACCTCTCCTACGGTTAAAGAAAAAAAAGAGTAACAATTATCACCACATTTGTGCTTTCTCATAGTCATTTCCTCCTCTTCTAATCCCAGCAGGCTGTGTAAGTAGCAAAGCTGCATGATTATGAAAAATACATACGGTTATGAGAAATACAAAATCCCATCACTTGTTTGGGTGCTGCCCTCTGGCTTTTGGCAACACGATGCTGGAACGTTATTCCGTTCAGCACAGGACTTTCAGGAAAGCCAAAGGCTGCATGCACAGCAACCTGAGATGTTAGGTGTGAATGGCTGTAGATTTTAACCACTATTCCCCAGATGGCTTAGGCCAGCAGCTCTGCTCGGCGCTGCACTGGCCACAAGGACAGTCCTCTTGTGCCCTGGCAGCGAGCGTATTTACTGAATCTCGCTTTCCCGAGTCGCTTCCGCTATGCGATAGGAATGCGCACGGCAGGTGCAGGGATGAGCACACAAAACCAGCTACGCAGGGACTCCGAGCTGCATGGCACACAGCTGTACGGGGCAGCCTCCTCACCCAAGCGGCAGGGACGCAAACGACCCGCCCGCAGGCCTGATCTGTGGGGGTGCGTGCAGTATGTCCCAGCCCCCCGCGGGGGTTACAGCTCGCATTGTTTCCCTGCTCCCCCCGCCCCAGCCCCGCTCTGAGCATGTGCGCAGCGCCCCTTCTCTCCCGCTCCTCCCTCCGTCCGCCCGTGGTCTCTCGTTCCGCGCAGAGGAGCGGACAGCCGCGCGGCGGCTTCGCGGTGGTCGGCTCGGGGGTGCGCTGGGATGGAGTGAATTGCGGAGCCCCGCGCCGCACGGCCCGGCCATGGAGCTGAAGAGGTCCATCTCGGCCAGCGCGGAGGCCGAGAGACCGATGAGGCGCTACGGAGCAGTGGAGGAGACGGAATGGAAGGCGGAGGCGCTGGGGAGAAGTGAGTGGGGGGCGCGGGCCCGGCTGGCCGAGGCAGCTCCGAGCGGCGGCGTTCATCCGGTCCCCGTCAGGAGAGCACGCTGGCGGTTCCTGTTAACAAGGCGAAGCCGCCGTCGGCTTCTCGGGGAGGAAGGCTTGGGTGACCATTTTGCCCTCTATGGCTGGTGCTTCTCAAGGGGACTGTGTCGGACTCGAAGGGCTTTTCTCCGTCGAGGGACCGGGAGGCAGAGGGCTGGAGCCGGGCCGGTGCAGCTCCGGGCACCTTGCGGAGCGGGTTGCTCGTTCGCTTCGCGAAGTGAAGCGATGAGCGGGTGGCTGAGGCAGGGTGACCGGGAGGTTAGGAGGGTTTTAATGATGGCTTGTCATAAATATCTGTAGTCTTTAATGTGCTTCATGTTTGAAAGGCACAGATGACAGCCTCGTTATTTCCTCCCGTTGTTTCAGGTATAGGGCACGGGAAGACAGCACTTCGTTCACTTCTTCAGGGCTGCACTCAGTTTATGAGCTCAACAAATACTCTGTGGCAGAAGAGCTTTCTTGAATTCGTAATTTTCCAGAAAGCAGCAATTGACATAACCTTTCCAAAGTGTTGATGGAAAGAGTAGTTAAAAAGATGAATAGCTGCCAGTTCCAGTTATTCAGGAGACCTCATCTCCCCCAGGATATCAGTTATTATTCTTTTATAGGCATATAGTTAGGTATAACTATCTTTAGTAAGCCTAAACCCCTTCTAATTTTCCTTCAGGCAAGAAAGCTTGAATAGACTATGACAAAAAGCTCTCTAAGAGTATAAAGAAAAATATTTTCCAAGTTTCATCAAGTGCTTGATTAGGCTACAGGAGAAAAAAGCTTTATGTGTACCTGTTGAGACACCTTCACCTTGGCTGATGCCAGGGTTGCTGGTGTTCTTGATTCACCGTCCGTCTTCTGATGCGCATCCTGAAGCCTCACCTGGATGCCTTTTGACGTCCCGTGGCTTTGCAGCATCCTGGTAGCAGGTTTTGGCCAGCACTTTTGTTATGTTTAGACGTTTCAGATACCACTGTATCTGGAATCATACTTCACTTCTGGCTTCTGTTTTTCATGCCTGTGTTATTGTCTGCTGCATGCTGATGACACGGGTGTAACTCTCCCACTCTGATGCTTCAGTTGCAGTGTTGGTTTTGTTGCAGTGCCTGGCAGAGGTTCAGGACTGAGTAACTCCACACTTTCTAAAATGGAATTGAAGGGCTGAATTTACTGTTGATTGGGTTGGTTGAGTCAGACACATGCAACAGTTTTGCAGGTTCTCTGGCAAGATGCAAGCATTTGCTTTTCTTGTTCTCATAAATATGTCTGGTTTTGCTCCAGAGCTCAGGAGCCGAGTGCAGTGCAGCACTTGTAATAATAGTAACTGTAGATAGAGGTGACAGAAGGGCTACGTCTTACAAGCTTTGGACAAAAGATCATCTGCTTGGCAGAGGGCAGCACAGAGACAGAGTGGGAGACTCAATCTGCTCAAAAATATGTGCTCAGCATTGAGCTTCCACCCAAATCACAGCTTGACCAGGTACCAGAATGAGCTGTTGATAGGACTAGAACCAAGTGCGCAGATGTCTGCACCTTGGCTCTGCTGCTGAGCTTTGAGATTCAGTTTAATGAGAATGTTTCTTTGTGAAAAGTAGTAAATTATTATATTAAGACTTTGCTATTTGAGTAATTGATGTTTTGTTTGCTGATGGTCTTCAACTTCCTTTAATTTTCTTAAAATGCTGTAGAAAATGCTATTTATGGGAATTTTTAGATGATCCCTGCATATCTTTCCTATTTTAATACTTATGCTGACTTCTGGTCACACTTCTGCAGCGATTAAAAAGAAACAGACTTTACTATTTAATGATCCCTTACAGCATAGGACCTAAATGGAATGGCATGACACCAGTGGTTTCCAGAAGGTCTGGGAAGAAGCTGAAAAAGTGTCATTCCTTTTTTTGGTAATGTAAACAGTTACCCTTTGGTATTTGAATATTTGTTTTAAATATGAAGTGGTAAGTAATAGCATTAACTAAAGGAGAAGCCTATCACTGCATATGCATTTGCCTTTTTTTTTACTCTGATGATTTATTGTGTCTCAAATCAGGATCTGTTTGGAGGTAGAACTTGTGTATCTGTACAGCACTGCATGATGGAGTGCCATTTCCTAGTCAGTGCTTTCTGATGTGGGTGTAGCCATACCACAAGAGAATGTATATCCTGATTATGTCCACTACAGAAAGAATGTCACAGAAGTTAGTAGTTTCTGTGTAACCTGTTAAATGGAAAGGGAACTTTGTGGTAACCTTTTTATCTGTGGTATAGAAAGCACTGCTGGGTATTGGTTATAACCAAAGATGAGTTACTTCATAGCCATGAAATGTAACATCATGTGTATTTCTGTTCTATATTGGCTTCTTTAAGGTAGATTATCAATGAGGTTAATCTGGTTCACAGTTGCTGAGGGTCTGATGCTCCACAGCGTGAGGGTATAATCATCTCCAGTGCAAAAAATACAAAGCAGATTGTTTAAAGGTGTCTCTTTAAGGAGTCACCAAAGACTTTCTCTTCACATACAGGAAGGAATTTCCAAGGACCAAAAAACATTAAAAATAAGGTACAGAGCAACTTGTGCATTTTCTAGAGCACACATGTAAACAAAATTAGGCTTATAAATTATCAGGGTTGTATAACAACAACGTGATTACAACCTTCTCAGTAAATTATTTTTATAATGTAGTCTTGGGGAGTCTGCTTAGAAACAGAGCGGTGGAGCATTTTGGTGAGTCCTCATTACTAAGGGCCCAGCTTCATTTAGAATCATCTGTCTTGCTGTCAGCAGGGACTCATAATGCCCTGATTAAATAACTGTGTGCCACACCAGGGAAATACCCACAAAGAAAGCATGCAGTTTTTCAACATCCTTTTGAACATTGCACTTCTTGAATACTTTTCTGCTCTTTCCCTTCCTCTTTCAGTTGTGTGAGGTCTGGAAAATGCAAAATTCCTGATGAGTGCCCCAACTTAGTCAGTATAAGGAAGCAGAAATGCCAAAAACATGCAAAGGTTATATATTGATGCAATTTAGTGCGCCATGAAATGTGCTTATTGTTTTCATTTGAATGGTAAGTTGGCATTGGAGGTAAGATGCCACACTCCTGTATTGCAGAGGTCCATCTTTTTAACTGGTTTTGAGTAGAAAGGGGATTAGAGTAATTGGGCCCTGTTACAGGCCAGCAGTGAAGAGGAGGCTGGAGATTCCCAACATGAGACGCAGTAGTGGCATGAAGCCTTCATAGCCAGCTTTACTTGCTCTCCCTTCATGCTGTGAATGTTGTCATAGATTATGTCCAGGCAGGGTACTGGGAGATGGCAGTGTACTCCAGAACAGCACCAGTGAGGTGATTTTATCTAGTTCTGAAATTGCTTTGCTTTGTTCCAATAGCAGAAGGATGCTACTGTTCCCAGGTTCACAGAGATCCTTGGCTGATGCATGTGAAAGCTTATTTCACCACAATCTGGCTCAAAAACCATTCAAAGATTGTTAGCCAGAAGGATACGCTTGTATGTATTCATACGCTCCACTGCTGAGCACTGAGAGTGGATCAAACGCTGAAAATATGTACTATTTAGCATTTTGTGGTTGCATTTATTGGCAGCAGGGGAAGGTGGATGGCTTCTATCTGAAACATTTCTGTTTCAAGACTGGTTTGCTTTAGAAGTACTGTTACGCACAGAGATGGTCTTGCAGCTTGCAGAAACTTGAAAAGGTAAAAAGAAAATGACCACAGATTGCAATAACATAGGTAGTAGTCCTGTAGCCAAGTCATCTTTTCTCTCTGGTGAAGGAAGAATGAAGAAAAGGCATTTATACCCTGATTATGGCTACTTGATTTATCTAATCTACTGGGAACTGCTTGTGTCACCTTTAAGACTTGATTTCATTGACAGAACAGAATAGCTACATCTTAGAATGGGATCTACCTCATGATGTTTTAATGTTGCTCAGTAACATTTTATAATAATTTGAAAAATTTCTGTTGCAATATTAAAAAATCAATCAAGTAGCAACAGAGAAGCACATCTGTCTTGCACAGCAAAGCCTGCACAGTGTGTCCTGTGACGCCTGTAATTCCAGTCACCATTCAGTAGTTAGGATGGGTTTGTATTAATCACAACCTATATGTATTAATCATAAAGTAGGTAAATGTCAATTTATTCTTGAATTTTGTGTCAGTTTCCTAAAATTTGGAGATTTAATAGCTCTCTATATACTCAGCATAGACAGTATGTTGGTTCCTGTAAGACAGCAGTGCACTGCTGTGTTATTCATGCTGGATCAGTCCCAAGTAACTGTAGAAAAACTTACTTAGACTCTAACAAAGGTGGACCCAGCCCTGGTACCTGGTGGGTGCCCTCATTTTTCTCTCTCCTGTATTGCTTCATGAGAGTGAAAGGTGACTTGTGTTGTCTTGCAAGACAGGGAAGGAAAAGTGATTAGGAAGTTGCAGTGGTGCTCAGGGCTGCCAGGTCAGAATCTACAAAGCGGTGCTGGAGTTGTTCTCAGTATGAGGGAAGAGTTGGGACTTACAGGGGGCTGAAATTTACTTCACACTACCCACAGTTAAAACCAGACCTGCACCAGTTGTAGCTGTTTCTATCATCTGATAGTTAAATATTCACACGCCTTCTTCCGTAATACCCTGCATATTGCACAAACATCCACAAACCCACTTCAGTGCTGTGTGTAACACCTCTCCAGTCAGTCAGGAATGCAGTGTGACCCTGCCTATTGCGCTGTCGTGATACTGTCCCCCAGTCTCATCATGTCTCCACTCTGATTTACCAAAAAAAACCCCAAACCACCCACAAAAAACCGCACAATTTATTTAATATATATAGCCCAACTACCACTGATGTTCCTCCAGAGCGACACCTTTGTGTTACTGTTAATCATAGAATAGTTAGGGTTGGAAAGGACCTTAAGAT